TACTGTAGAATATATTTAGTCTTAGTAGGTGGTCTCACCAGTTTGGCATTTTGCTGTTATGAAGAAATATGCGGTGGTGTTTTGGAGTTTTTCCAGATAAAATAGTTTGAAATTCATAGCTGTTGGTATTTCAGGTTTTTATGGTAATCCATGAAGTAGTGGAGTTTATAAAAATTACCTGTTTTCAAAATGTAAGTTGTAGAATACATAAACTGAATATTAAATTTTCATTAAAACAATACTTCAGGTTATTTAAAATGTGTGGAAAGAAACCCTCAATGTGTTCATTTTCAATGGGATAGATTTAATAGGTCTTTTCCATCTCGAACTTCCTTAAATTGAGACTTTGACATATTCATATTAATGACCTCAGTCTGTCTTCTAAAAGCAGCAAGGTTTCTTCAGAAGAGCATTTTAGAACAGCAACCTTTCCTTCCTAATTTGAAGGAACAATTCAGAAAAGCTTGGAGTTCACAAATAAGCGTAGTATACTTCCAGGTAAAACCATTTAAAAAATGCTTTCATATAGTGATTATTTTATACCCACATCACATTAAAAGAAAAAAACATCTTTATGTGAGTACGTAAGTGTGGGTAAGAACTAACTGATTTGTATGGATTCCCCCAAATAGAGGACAAAATGCTCATAATGAGGTATGAGATTCAAAAGGACCTTAACTGTGTTATTGCATACACATGTTGGTGAGGTTTTTCCATTTTTTTTTGGTGAATGGTTTGTCTAGAGCTTGTATTGTTCCCAGTTTTACTAGTGTGCTTTTATGTCTTAATTTCTGTAGAGTAACGCCTAGCTGTATAATTGGATTGAATTTACATGCTAACTGTATGCGGGACGTGAAGTGCTTGACTTGAAAGAAGCACAGTGAGAATAAAGATAATGTTCTTGCCTTGAATTTCTCAGTAAAAAAAAAAATTGTGTAGAACCTTGAGAATAAGTGTGAAGGGTCTTGTATGTAAATGGAAAAAAGATGGGGGAGGGGGAATAAAGGGGGAATAAAGTAATAAAAATGGGAGATACATGGTTTACTTTTCTATCTCCAGTAGCTTCACAAAAATAAAGCTTGTTGTACATGAAAACCGTTAACTAATTTTTAATGGAAAATACAGAAGTACCAGTTACATGAATGACTTGGGTGTTTTAAACTTTGAGTTTAGTGGGGTGCAGATGGCCAAGGACAAAAAAAAACTGAAATGAAGTAATATTCTAAAAATATTTTAATATTCATGGATTGTAAGGTGGGGTCACTGTAGTTGGATGTTTCTCCTGTGGTGGTGGTGTGAAATCGTTCTGTAGAACTTGATTTTTGTGACTGAATACAGCAACTGTATACAGCATACGCACCTCATGTTGTTGTAAGTACAAAGCAGCTGATTTTAACATCGTTAGCCTTTCATCAAACCCGTGACAATCTGGTCTTGCATTTGTGTCTCATAACCAGAGAAGCATCAAACAGAAATTGTTTAGTAATTGTGTGATAGGATTAAGGTATTTTCATTAGGTTTTTCCCTTAATTTCACTGTATGTATTTATGTGAAAGGGAGAAAAAAATTATTTTCAGTGACTATTTGGGGAAAAAAGCCCACCAAAAAAAAACAACAAAAAAACCACAAAAAAAAAAAAAAAAAAAAAAACCAAAAAACCAACAACTAACCAACAAAACACTCCTCCCTAAATAGCCCCCCCATTGCCAACCCCTGCCAAGCAAAACAGATTTTCCTTCATTAAATAACCACATATGCTTAAGCAGGGTAGGAAACCACAAATATGTAAGCAATTTGGAAGAGGAAATGTAATAAATCTAAAAAGTTGTAAACCCTACGATGATTTATTGTAACTTTCTTTGCAGCTGTTTGCTCTTAGTGTTTAGGGCATTTTAATGTTTCTTTAAAAAAAAAAAGGTTTTTACCATTCATTATTTGCTGTAAAAGGATTTATTTTGCAGTGCTTTTACTAAGTTTTACATATTTTTATTTAGTGAAAACTGCAGGAAAGAAACCTACATAAATCAGCTGTCACAGTACTGTAGAATGCAGCTGTGAACTGCTTGCAGGAGGTGGTCTTTCAAGTTGCCTACAAATTATTTAATGTATGCTAAATGGAAAAGTTGGAATCTTTGTGTGTAAAATAATAATGCAGTACATGCATTGCTGCAGATAGGCATAGCCCTTTGCCCTCATTGCTGCTTGGTCGTGCTTCCTGCCTGCTTTTGTGCCACCCTTGCATCTCTGTGCCCATGCAGCGAGCAGGGTAAAAAAATCCCGATGAAAATTCTGCTCTATTCTGCTCATTTCATTGTGGAAGGAAAGAACACCAAGGAGTGGGCAGTACAAGACTTTTCTTGGCTGTGTGGATTTAGGTTAGTTTGGGCTGACTCTACATGCCACGTAGAGAGTGTAGTTGCACATACTTTCTCCCAAAGTGAGTTTGGATGACTTCTCAGTACTTCTTAGAAATACATAATTTAGAACAAACAGAGAAGAACTGTGCTGAGGGCTTTAAGATGTCTGAATAGCACAGTTGTGTTTTACATTCTTAGTGATGACTCAAGCGGACAAGTATTTGAAGTAATGAAGAAAACCCCATACTCTAAAATGTTGAGCCAAATTATATGTGAGCTTGATCTGTCCACTTTCTGCAGTTGCCAAGAAGGTTGCATGCAAGCCAGTAAAATATGGAAAATAGTGTTCTTCACAATTTCTCCAGGACAGATGATATACACAGTTGCTTTAGAGAAGCAAGACTGTTCAAGTGTACTTTTTCTTGGAAAAAAAATATGTACCACAGTTACAAGATGTCTTTTAATATGCTAACTTTCTCATTCTTTGATACAATAGCACTGCGTTGTTCCATATATTATGCTCCACTTTTAAGGGACAGAGCATATGAAAGGTAAGCTGCAGCTCCAGTTTTTAATCATCTTCATGTCAAAAGCCTTTTCCAGAAGGCACAGAAGGAAGAAAATTAATAAAGAAACAGTAGTTCATCTGCAGTTTTGTTGTAGTGTGGAATGTTCTGCTTCTAGAACTTCCAGCATTTTATCAGTAGCAGTTCCACATCTGACATTTTCAGAACCAGAGCTGTGCCAAATAATACAAATGAAGTTTCTGCCTTAGTTTATGAAGAGTGTAACCACTACATTTCAAAACCTGAATGTTCAGATTTTTGAAAGGAAATGTATGAAATAATTGTCTTACTGACTTACTGGTTTAAAAATGAAAAACATCACCTTGGCAGTTGGGATGGTTGTGCTTTTATACCCATTTTTGTGTATGTGCTGGTTTATCATTGCCATGTATAGTTTTGCTTTATCATTGCTTTGTATAGTTTTTGTAACACCACTTCATGCATGTTCCACATCATTCTTGCATCGTAGCTGTGTACAGTTTCATATTTTATTCACACTGCTGAATGTGAATGTCTGTAGAAGGGGGTACTAGAGCATTTGTTTGGTATTATGTAAACTTGGGGGGGGAGGGGGTATTAGTTGCTAAGCTTGCTTTATGTTTTGTGTTCACTCTGCATGTCTAGTGCAGCATAGGCTTTTTCCATTACAAATGGGGAAAAAAGTATCAAGTTATGAAGATGTGCTTCTTAGGAAAGTCAACATAAGTCTGGGATGCCTCTTACAGTTTCCAAAATGACAGCTGGCTCAGGAGAATAAAATCACTTTATATACTTTCATGTATGATTGCTTCTAGATTTTTTTACCTGCTTGTGGCTCACTTCAGTATTAATGGTAAAGATAAAAAAATAGTTCCGTTTCCATGGATAATCTGGTTTAAATCACAAGTATGTGTACAAGACAGTAAATTAATCACAACTGACTTGATGTTTACTCTGAATAGTATTGTAACTCCCCAAGTTGTATTAAACATAAAAAAAATAAAATTAGTTTGAGTTTCATCATTTTTGAAGTGAAGCTTTAAAAATTATATTGAGTATTGAAAGCCAGACCACAGGAGGGTGGTGTGGGGGGATGTGTGGGAGGGGTGGAGGGAAATGCAAATCATGCATTCTGAGCTGTGTTATGTTACTGGACATGCATCTTTTTAAATTGGGGCTACTGTGCAAAACATTGCTATAAACACTTAACAAGAAATGTTGTCTTATTTTACCCAGTTATAAGTTTCAATTCATTGTTGGCATCTTAAAATAGAATAGGTTAGGTTAGGCAGATATACTTTACTGTGGATATTGGCATGTATTATGGATTCATCAGAAATAGGATAATTTGAGTGATGATAGTTACTGAAGACTGAATACATTGTGCCTTTAAGCCTAGCTGGGTAAAAGCTGATCTTTAACATTATTCTTACTATGTTGGAAATGAATTATTTCATGTATCTTTTTCTTCTTCCAGATAACCATAAACCTGAATTTCCCAAATGTCTGATAGTTTTGGAAAATACGGATTTTAAAACTATGCCTAGAATCTTAATACTACACATACACTTCTGCTTTATTGCTGTAGTAGTGACAGAAGTACTCGGGGTTTGACAGTCTTCATCTAGATTTTTGGGGGGATGGTAAGGGATTGATTATTCTAGGCTGCTTAATTCTTGAGGTCTCAGGTAGGAAAACTGGTAATGTAGAATCTTCATATTGATATAAAAAAAAATCAAAATTGTTAAAAAAAATCTGGTATCTTTGAAACTGCCCACTGTCAAGGAAGCTGAATGGTGTATCTTTGAAAGAAGGTGGGAAAGCTTTATTTTACTAGAGGTGTTACGTATTTATGAAGTATTTGAACTCTAAACCTTTCACTGGTCTCGTATTGAGGGCATTGTGACTCAACCCTAAATTTATTAGCATTATGGTGACAATTCTGCAAGCTTCTGCAAAGCTTTAGAAGTTATGTGAGTAGTAAGACGTACTGAATATAGGATTGGGTCAGATCATTCATCTTTGAAGACTTTCTAGCCTGCTTCTGGGTATCCTTATGTATTCCATTTAGGACTTTGTTTCCTGTTCTGTATTCCAGGTTCTCTTTAACGTTTCCTGATGATGTGAAAAGATAAAACTTTATCAGGGGGTTGTAATACTAAACTTGATGGAAGTGGGTTAAAGGAAATGATCATATGTCAGAGACACAGTAAAAACAAAAAACAGTTATTCATATGATTTGGCAAGTCATTGCATACCTCTCCATATGTGTTCTGCTAGTACATGAATATCACGTATATATTCTTAACCTAATATGTTGCTGAAAAGATTTATGGCTCTTCCTGAGGGGAAGAAAGAAAACTTTGGTCTGGGTTAATTTAATATTAAAATTTCTTTTGTATAAATTAGTTGACAGTAATTGACAGAATGCATGACAAAATAATGAATGGGTACCTTTTCTTGACTCACAGGTGTGTAGAAATACTAATACGGAAAAGTGGATAAGTACTCTTCATGTATTTACAGATAGGGGAGGTAGTAATGTGGAAAAGAATGAAGATGTGGTTTGACCTCATCTTTCAGAATCTCTTCTAAAAATCTGGAAGCTGCCATAGGATTAAAACCCTCCAGTATGACTTGATAAACTTATCTAGGTAAAACCCATCTAAAATTCTTAAATATTCTTTCAGAGTTCTGCTATAAATGAAACTATTTTAATGTAAAAATGCAAATAATACATGCTTTAGTAGGCAAAAGAAGTCTAAAAGCCTGTGTTTCATTAAGATCAGTTGAACAGTAATGTAATTGGGGAATTACCTATATTTTCTAATTTTTTTTTGGTCTACATAAAGGAACAGAGGCGGGACATTTAATGACATGCAGGGAAAGGCTAAGTATATGAGTCAAATTGTGCTGAGAAAGAGCTGCAGCTCAAATATGTATAACTTAGTGTTCCAATAGAGGCTTCCATTAGAGGCCTTCTGCCAAGATTCGAGAGCTCCTGGATAAATGTAATTGCTGGCAAAAACATGGTTCTGCACTAATTGCAGGAAAATGAGATCTTTGCCTTGATTGTGACATAGATCTGAGTGGTTGAACGCTTAGTACCTGAGGTTGCTTGTCTGCTGATAAGGTACATCTACAGCTCCAGGACTGTCAGCCTTCCCAGGACTTGGAATATTATAGTGTCTTTGGTTGTTCTGGCAGTTACTTTACCTGCCTCAGTTAATGAAGTTCCTTTATGGCTACAAAGGTGCTTTTCAAAGTCTTCATCTCTTCTCCTCACCTAATTTCAGTTGCACAGTGGTAGCTGCTGCAGTTGGGGTTTGAGGGTGGTCTGGCACTTAAATCAGTATTTGCTCCTCCCAGCTACAGTGATCTTAGTTTACTCCTTTTCAGTTATTGCAGTGCACTCCCAAACATTAATTTCCCTGAATTACAGATGTGGTATTCTCAGCCAGGCATTGATTTGAGCCAAGGCGTAAGAAATAGTATATACAAGCTTTCAAAAAATGCAAACTGGTTACATCCAGATTCCTTTGATAATTCAAGATTTGTTATGGAAAGTGAATGTTGGATGATTATTTCAGTCTGATTCCCTCATTTTGTAATAAAGAAGCAAAGACCTGGTTTTACCTCAGTGTGCTGAGGTTCATCTTTAAGCTACTGGAATATCTGCATTTATTTTAGCTTGCACATGGTGTAAAATAGAATCACTCAAAATTCATGCATAAATATACCCTGTCAGAGCATACTCAGCAATCAGATGATGATCAGATGCAAAATTTTGCAGAACTCTGTGAAAGTAAGTTGGTGGAAAGTTGTAAAATAAGATGGAAATGAAGTTAAGAGAAGGCAAGAACAAGGTTGAGCAGAATAGGAGAGCAGACTGAGCTCTTTTTAAAATGCTCTGTAAAAAGTAGTGAAAGAATCTGGTAACATGTAATTGTTCTCTTAACCTTTCAAAGAAATTGATGTATCATTCACTATACAGAACTTCGTTTTGAAATGTGGACTTTGTTGGAGAAGCTGCTGCTTGCTTATACAGAATTTCTTTTTCAAAGCGTAGCAAATAATATTTATAGTGTGTTAAGAGTGAGTGGTTTTTCCTTGTGTACATCAAAAGCCACAAACAGGTAACATAAATAACAACTTACATGTTGTAGCTTGTGTTCATAACCATTTTCTTGTTAATGTGTTGATATTTACAAATTGGACACCTGACATAATTTTGATAACTTATTTTTAAATGCATATTTTCAATGTGAGAATTGTAGTATGACCTTACATCTTGAAATCTGAATGAAATGTGAAAAATAGTGCCAACAGTGAGTCACTTTGATTTGAAATACTTTAGTCTTGAATGTGATGCCAACTAATTGTATGTAAGATGATAACAAAAGGAAGTTCACTCTTTTCGTGCCCTGTGGTCTTGGTTTAGTCCTGTGCAAACATGGTTTCATCATTAGGCCTTTGTACTTCGTTCTCAAGTGAAGAAAGTTGTAGTCAAGCGGAGTGTCACATTTGAAGAGGGGGATAAGTGGTGGAAGAGTTAATTTTAGTAGTATTCCTAACACACACTGAGATGCCTGATAGTTAAATCTGTTATTCAAAACTTGAAATTATTCCTAATATTGTGCTTTTCGGTCCTCTTCATTACATGTTGGCAGGTGCTTCCTTAGCTGTGCATGTATAAGAGCTGAGGCTTAATGCTTTTTTAAATGTTTGATATTTACTTAGCCATTTCACTTCAGGTAGGAATAACAGCTTTATCTTGCAGGTAGTAGCCACTTTCTCAAAAATAAGGAATGTAAAATGGTACAGGAAAGTTGAGATAAATCTTGGTGCAGCATCAGCAATATGTCCAGTTGGGCAAGGAAAAGACAAAAGCAATGTTTGAATCCCAGCTTGCCAGGCAATGAAGTTTATACAACAGTAGCAAGTAGAGAACCTGTGCTCTTTGGTTTTGTGCAGTTCAGCTCACCACGTATTCTGCCTTAAAAATTCTCATGAGTTCCTTGGTGGCATTACGCATAACTTCTAGCCCAGGTCTGAATAGTAACCTGCTTAGACTGGGCAAGTGCTTGGTTTGCTGCCAGGACTAGTTATGTGATACTGAAACATCTGTAAATGCCTTCATCTCTATAAAGCACAAGTTTTCATGAAAAATGGTACCTTTATTGAACATTGCTTTATGGTGTTTTTTTTTTTTTTTTAAACAGGTAAGTATTTATGTCGGTGGACTGATGTGTGTGAGCATTTGCAGGATACCCTGCAGTTTATTAATGCTGTTCTGTTGGTTTTGTGCTGAAATAGCTTCCATTTTCTGTGTATTTGAAATCTAATGTAAGATTTTTTTTTTTCCAACAAATACGGCTTTGTTATGGTGGAAGGTAGAAGCTGGTATTAGTGTTGTCATGAAGTAATCAGAGCTAAAAATTGTCACCTAGCAGAGTTAGTACAGGAAGAAGGAAATTGCTGGACTGCACAATGAATGACTGAATCTTTTGACAGGACCAGAGGCAATGGTCAAACTGAAGCACAGGAGTCTCTGTCTGAACATCAGGAAACAAGTTTTTAATGTGAGGGTGACCAACCACTGGCTCAAATTGGCCAGGGACGTTGTGGAGTCTCCATCCTTGGAGATACCAGAAGCTGTCTGGACATAGCCCTGGGTGATCCTGGGCATCGGCTATAAGTGACCCTGCTTGAGCAGGGAGTTGGACCAGGTGATCTCTAGAGGCCCTTTCCAACATTAACCCTTCCATTGTTATGTTACGTAAATAAAGCTTTAACTTATTGAACTGCATATGAGTTAACATTAAAGTTCTGTGATATGCTTAGGTATTTGAATGCTTCCTTACTCAGTGTCATTTCAACATAGATGTGTCTATTGCTTAGTGTTGTTAAATTTTACATTTTCAAATGAAACACTTCAAAGATGAAAGCTCTTGGAGTGACTCTTGAGTTGTTGCTCTTCATAAGGACCATGTGACCACAGCTTGCCCTGCCCTTTCCCCCAGCAGTCTTACGGCTTCAGAGATTTTAGTCCCACAAACATAATTCAGCTGTCATTATTTTGGAAGAGGAGGTTAGGACACTGGTCTAACTTGGCATCTGCTTCAAAAATAACAGGTAAGGAATCCTACCAGGAGGGAATGGGGAGCATTGTGTAAAGTTGGGTAAAGCAGCATTACTAACACCTCAGAAGTAAATGCATAGTATATTAGTTTCACAATTCCTTGGGAATGTTGGCTTGTTTTTTCAGTTGGACAAAGTTTGGATTATGCATAATCTAGGGACGTTTCCCTTGAAACTAGATTTCCCCCTTAGTTTTTAGAAGATCATAATATCCTCAAACTAGTTAGGTCATCACATTTCAGCTATATATGTGTTTTTCTGTAGTAGAAACTTTATGCTGGTTTTTCTGTAGTCTTAAAACTGTAAAATCTCGTAAAACTCTTGGGCTTTGCCTAAACACATTTTTGTTACTTTAAAGCAATTTAAAAAATATTTTGAAATCAAAATAAAAGGATATTGATGAAACTATGCCTATTTAAATGTGTCTAAAATTTTCTTTGTAGTTCTCTCATCTCAGATTGCACAGTTGTAAACTTGTTTGCACAGTGTGCAGTGCAATGATGACTGGTGTCCTGGCTTTCCTTAAAGCCCTAGAGCAGTACTGCTACTGCTTAACCCTTTGCTAGCTGTGCTGGTTTAACCATATCTGCTGTAAATCAGCAGATTCTCTAAATTTGTTTCAAACTCAGCCATATGTTTCTGTGGTAGGTGAATTCACTCAGTTTCTAGAATCTGACAAATCAAGCTCATGAAATTTTAGCTGACTTCTGTAACTTCCAGTGCTGAGTGGTAGAGCACTTTCAGATCCTTTTCATCTGTCAGGTTTCTTAAGTTCTCTTTGTTAATTGGTGAAATCACACCTATACATTGTCAATTCTAGATGAAAGAGGTGAGGGTTAAAAGTTAATCCCTTGCTGCTTCAACAGTTTTGTACTACTTAGTTTTTCTGTTATAGAAGTTTAAGAACTTCACATTTGTGTAACAGGACGTACGAGTGCTGAGACAATAATACCGTTAACTTGGATATTTTTCAAGCTGGTTGGCATGAGCAAAATTAATAGAAATGTGAACATCTGAGGACATTGCTGCTGTGTTAAAGACAGCAGCTGTAGAATGGATAATTAGGAAAATCACTGATTAACCAGTTGTTCTGGTGTTGCAGACTCCTTGACATGGGAATGTTAGTGAGCAGTGTAGGGGAGAGGGCTATATTCAAAAGTACAGGATTGAGCTGGTTTCATATAGGATTATTTTAATGACTTTGCAGCCTCACAGCTCACAAAATTTGCAAAAATACGTATATATTACGAAAATATAATACTTTACACTGTGGAGTAGAATCCTCAGTGATGTTAAGAAGTTAAAGACTTCATTCCCTTCTGCTGATCAAATCCAAACTTCTTTGAAGTGGTAGGAAGTCTCTTTTTTTTTTTTTTTTACCCCCAGAAATAGATCCTCATTTCGTATTGAATGCACTGTCTTACATCTAGGAACATAACTTGTAAGTAAGCAATTTTGATTAAATTTATGAAATACCAATTTCAGGGTCTTCAAATTCAGACCTTGCTTAAGACACAGGGGTACGCAAAAATCTTTGTCCTTTCTGTGGCAGCTTGGAGCTTGTTGCGTATAGCAGTTCCTCATTGAAAGGACAGTAGTGGAGAGTATTCTGTTAAAGCTGAGTATGTGTTACTTGAGATAGGTTGTACTGAAGAGCTGTTTTTTTTTCAGTTTTCCTTGATAATGGCTCAGTATATGCACAATATCAGCTTGTGCATGATGCATGTGTTTATCTCTGAATAGGCATGTTTATCATGCTGTCTGCCTTTTAGAATATTTCAGATGAATTTTTCTTGGCACCATACCCATTTGCGCTTCAATTGTAAAGAAAAGCTTTATCATATGAATAAAGATGATTCAGAGTCTGTTACTTTGAAAAGAACTGTCTGCTGTGTTCCTGCTCACTCTTAGGAATCCCCTTTTTCAGCACGAGCTGCTA